CTGGGTTACATGTTTACAAGGTGCAAAAAGCCCCAAACCGGAATGAAAAGCAAAACATCACTGCGAAAACCCGCGCCCGGAAACTTTACACGAAGTTGCTCAACTTCTTGGGAAAAAATATTTCGTTTGCCAAGTCTAAGTTCGATGTTCCGGAGGATGTTCGAAGAAGAAATTATCGAAATATGCAAAGAAGTTCCTGATCTGGCAGGCGATTTGCGGATGTGGTGAAATAAGCGCTCCTTTCATCACTTCCGGAACAATCAACGGTACGATTTACACGGAAGAGTGCCTTAAGAAGCGTCTCTTGCCATTTATAAGGAAGTACAAAGGATCAACTCTGTTTTGGCCGGCATCCTGCCACTACGCCCGAAACGTGTTGGAGTGGTACCGAGCCAACGGAGTCAATTTTGTGCCAAAAGATATCAACCCACCAAATTCACCGGAATTTCGCCCAATTGAAAAATTCTGGACAATTATGAAGACGGAACTTCGCAAACATCCCAACACTATTGAAACAGAGCTGGCGTTGAAGAAAATTAGGGTAAAAACAACAAAAACACTGGGAAAATCGGTTGAACAAAATTTGATGGGTGGAGTGAACAGGAAGGTGCGGGCATTCGGGATGGGAGACGAAATTGAATAAAACAAATTTTGTAATTCATAACTCATAAAACTACTAATGAAAAATATCAAGAAAATCCGATAATCGGTTTAATTTTGGTGAATAAATATGTGTGTGCCATTTTTATCGAAAACACCCTTTAGGATGGCTTGCAAATACTTTAAATTAAATTGTTTACATTTCCATACTGAATGGCCATGAACAGTCACTCCATCATGGATACAAAAACCGTTCTAATGGTCTGAGGTTTCATTCGAACAGAGGATGATGTTTTGGTACAGTGAAGACTAACTAACTCATTTTTCCTTGCTTCAAGATCATCCTCCGTCGAGCAACCCGAGTCTTGTCGCTATTAACAAGGCATAAAAAAGTAACAAGAACTTAGATGTTATCCTTTAATTACTTAAAAAATCCTGTTCCTTATTATGCTTGAAGTTATGAGGACTATAGGATTGGTGGTAGATCTTATACCAGTAACGCACCACGAAAAGATGATCTACCAGCGTTGCTGGGTTTGTCATATGTAAGTTACTCGATTTTTTATCAGGATAAAAAGTGAAACCTGCTGGCAAAATTGAGCAGGAATCGAAGAGGGAGAAGCTCAACAGCTCTGGACGGTCAGAACTAAACACGAGTTGAAACTTCTTGAGGACAATAAAGTAAAGTATGAAGCGATCGTAAATATTTAACACATTTCTCAAAAAGGCAACAAACAACGATAAGCAGACGTGATTACTAATCCTAATCGTGTTGTTCATTTTCCTCTTCGAACTTTTGCTCGCTTTTCCTCGTATTCATCAACTGAAGCTTCCTGGTACTGTTGGTACTCGGAGATCAGATCGTTCAAATTGGACTCCGCCTCGGTGAACTCCATCTCGTTCATACTTTCGCCGGTGTACCAATGCAGGAAAGCCTTCCGTCTGAACATGGCAGTGAACTGTTCGGAGATACGTTTGAAGATCTTCTGAATGGCCGTCGAGTTTCCGATGAAAGTCGCCCACATCTTCAGACCACGTGAAGGAATGTCACATACAGCCACCTTCACATTGTTTTCGGAATCCATTCCATGAAGTAGCTGCTATTCTTGCTCTGGACGTTCATCATTTGCTGATCAACTTCCTTCGTCGAAACGAGACCTCGGAAGATGGCCGCGCAGGTCAGATACCGTCCGTGTCTGAGGTCACATGCCATCATCATGTTCTTCGCATCGAACATCTGCGCGGTCAGTTCGGAAACGCTTTCAATACGTCATTTCTGCGAGCCCTTGGCCGTTAGTGGTGCAAAACCGGGCATGAAGAAATGCAAACGCGGGAATGGAACCATGTTGACGGCCAGCTTACGTAAATCGGCATTAAGCTGACCTGGGAATCGGAAACACGTTGTCACGCCGGACAATATAAGGGATACTAGATGGTTCAGATCGCCGTAGGTCGGCGAGCTGAGCTTCAACGTTCGGAAGTAGACATCATAGAGTGCTTCGTTGTTGATGCAGAACGTTCCGTCGGTATTTTCCACGAGCTGATGAATAGATAGAACGGCATTGTACGGCTCTACGAGAGTATCCGAGACCTTTGGTGAGGGATAGACTGAGAATGTGTTGATAATCTTGTCAGGGTACTCTTCGCGAATTTTGGAGACGAGCAGAGTGCCCATACCGGAACCGCTTCCACCACCGAGGGAATGTGCCAACTGAAAGCCTTGTAGACAGTCACATGTTTCGGCCTCCTTACGTACTACGTCAAGAACAATTTCAACCAGTTCGGCACCTTCTATGTAGTGAGTGACCCTTGGCCCAATTATTACCGGCTCCGGATTGCGCAAAGACAAAATTATCCAGTCTGAACAGGTTACCGTAGGGAGACTGACGGACCGAGTCCATTGGTGCCTGGTTGCAGATCGACGAGAACCGCCCTTGGTACATGTCTGTTTCCGTTGGCCTCCGAGTAGTACACGTCAATGCGTTCCAACTGGAAATCATTGTTGCCGATGTAGTGACCGGACGGATTGATGCCATGCTCGTCTGAGATGGTTTCCCAGAACTTGGATCCAATCTGATTTCCGCACTGGTCGACTTGCAGATGTACAATTTCTCTCATATTGATGGCTGATGACCAAGATTACCGTTACAGATAAAAAATGTTTTAAAACAAGCTCTTCAATGAACACTCCCGTAAGCAATTTTCAACTAGCACTTGCTTTTCTCGCGACGACCGATCGATTCTCCATTTTTAGCTTAAGGCTACGATTTTCCTCCCTTTAGTATCGTTCGAGTGTTTTTGCAGCTGTACTAACCCTCTTGCTGCTGTGTGTTGCCTTCTGTCTTTGATATTAAAATACGGGAATTTTCCAAACAACAACAACTCATACGTTTGATCGAAGTAGGCTCTGTTAGTGGACGGATCGGATTTCTCGTGCTGTCAATCGTTTGCATAAAGTTCAAACGAACATTTTCCTTTTGGCCGATGTGAAAAGTGTGATCTGTGAAAAACATCGTTTCGATGACAAATTCCTTGATCCTTCGGGTCGTTTTGCAAACCGCGAAGAAAACAAAAAAAAAAGATACGTGTACGGCAGATAAAGGGCTACTGGAGAAAATCGTGCAACAGAGAAGTCCGGAAAAGTTGATGATCACAGTAAAGCGACCGGTTTAAGTGAGATCATTCCATTATTATCTATAAATTAGAACTTTGGGGAACATTTGAGGCATTTGGTGAGATCCTTCAATTTTTCTATATTATATAAACCATTCATTACATCACATATGATTGTTAAATTAACTCTTACATAACTCGGAGCGTTTGGTACGGTATGTCGACGCATCCTTCAAGTCCTGTAGATTCACGAAATGCTTTGCTGTTTCAGCATCATTGTGTCCGTTTTGGCGTTTTCTAACCTCATAATTTTCCAGGATGCTTTCTCGTACTGGCTGCGTTTGTATTAGATTACATTAGGTTCAACCAAAACATTCAAGGTGTCAGAGAAATTCCGGATGGCCAGGATGGGTATTTTACAAACAATTGCAGCTTGCTCTGTGACCGGCACAATCGGCACGCTTGCGGCTCACTAGCGGCACACTGACAAAAAAGATGACCCAAGATGACCCCTTGGCTAAACCCCAAAAAATTGCATATCAAATTTACACATTTTGTAAAACTCGATCTTTGGTGTGTCTTGAATCACTTTGGCCGCGTCATGTTACGTATACTTACGGGTCAGTGGTCTGAATCCGAAATGAACCAACATCTGATATGCGATGTTGTTCAATTATAGATAAGAGGATAATGTCGTCCGTAAATTTAGATTCTTTTATTAGATTAAAATTCAACTCTATCTTGTAGATTTTCATTTTCATTAATAATTTTCTGTATGAAATAATAGAACAGGAAATTAACTATTGGTGTATGGACATCTTAAAAAATCGAATACATACATTTCTTATTCTAACCTTAGTTTAGTGCATGTCGTATTTATTACTCCATCACTATTGAGAAATGATGAAGTATTCGATTTTTTTTACAGTTGTCATTCATGTATTTATCGTAAGGATCCGACTCTAATTGTTAGGTTCCGCTATTTATACCCTTCGGAGTGTTGAAACACCCTCCAAAGGTGCGCATCTTTGTCAGTCAAAATTGGATTCCTTAGCAACAAAATTAAGGAATGACACCGATAATGACCATGCATCAGAACCCTAGTCTTAACCACTTTAAACTAGAGAACAACGAACAAGGAATCACATAGATGAAGACTAACTAACTCATTTTTTCCTTGTTTCAAGATCATCCTCGGTGGACAAAGTCGAATCTTGTCACTATCAACAAGGCATAAAAAGTAATAAGGACTAAGATGTGTTCCTTGGATTACTGAAAAATCCTGTTCCCCTAGTTCGAAGTAGTCAGGATTAGGAATCGGTGGTAGATCTTACATCCCGTAACGTACCACGAAAAGGTGATCTACCCACGTTACGGGGGAGCGCACGCTTAGAAAACTTCAAGTAGACGATCTAGGGATTGTCCACACATTTGCTCTTGTCGCCATATTAAACTTATGAATAAGCAAAGAAAAATTTCGCACTAATGCCATTTCGTAAAACCTACGTGAATTTCACATAATTTTCACCAGTATGACACTTCAACTCGACCTATCAATCCAGTTGAATTCATTACCATGCCATTGAATATTAAGTGTAGGAAGTAATTCGTAGGGTCTAGGGTTCAGGTAGTAGGTACTACCCGCGGGAATGGAAAAATCTCTCTGGTGTTTATCCTTAGTGTCATCAAGCAAATCCCTGTTCTCGTTCAACGTTAAAATTATAAGGAAACTAGCAGCACAGTTCCACCTAGTCTTCATTCATTCAAAAGATCATCATTCTCATAGGTTTTCAGTTCATTCAATACAGTCGTATAGAGTGGATGGATACACGATTCGTCCGTGGTCGGAGCCGTAGGTTTCTAGTCTCACTTTCATATTTAGCTACCATTATTGATTTGTGCCAATGTACAATATTCGTGTATTATTATTCGGACGCTCAATAATGTGGATTCTAACGCTATTCGCAGCACCGGTACTTGTATAAATTATACAAAAGCACAAATGCTATCATAGGTGTTCCAGCACATAGTCGAGCAATGAAATAGGGTGAAGATTAAGTGCCAGAAGATCTACTCGACACTTGAAGGCCGTCGGTTGGCAGTCTTGGGATCTTGTGTTTGAACGATACTGGAAGACAAACAAAGGTGGTAATCTTCTGGAAAAAGTGAGAGCAGGAAGTTATTCCAAAGGTATTGCGTGAATTTAATTTGTCAAGCTTTAGCTCTCGATATTGATTAATCCAAAAAAATGTCAGTGTTGCCAATATAGGTAATTCTTATTCATGTACCTTTCACCATTATATAACTTTCATTTTTATAGTTTTTGGAATGCCTCAAAAAAATGGCCTGTTTGTTAAAATTGATCTCAAATTAATTTCTCACTTATAAACGTCGTAGAGCATGAATCTAGTTTCGTTGTCACACTTCAGTATTGAATCTACTTCCTAGAGCGAGTACCGCGAGAAACAGCGATTGAATGCACATTATTGAAACGAAACGAACAGTATCGGTACACGACATCCACCGTTAGTGTTGGTGGCTGCTTTGTGACAGGCACTCTTAAGGTGGTAGTGTAAGTACCAGACAGCTAGCACCATAAGGTGGTTCATTCATTTCACTAGTTCATTACGTTTTCACGTTTTCGATCGAGTGATAGACCTACAGAAATCAGTCATTTGGTAGCAAGGGAGTAGCGCGTGAGTTGTAGAACTGGCTCCAGTGCGAATGTATTTTTTTTCTTTTTTTAATTTTTTGCTTGCATAAATAGTGAATAATTGATCAGCACAGTTGCCATCGGCCATTGCAAAGTGATACAGAAAGAAGAAGAAGAAACAGTGCGTGAAAACACACAATGGCATTTCTCTCGATACGACTAGTGGCCACGGCTGCAGTAAAAAGTGCCAATGCGAATCTTGCCAACAATATCAAAAAGTGCACCCTATCGTCGGCCTTGGATCGTCAAATTGGCTCCGTCGCACGGTTCAGTTCCGTCGTCTCTTCACCACCGCAGAATCACTATGAACTGCAGCAACGGCAGCAATACCACCAGGCAGCTCTACTGAATGCTGCTATCGTTTCCGATCAGCATGTAAGCACCAAGAAGACGTCCACGATAAATAATCCATTAATTTCTAAGACCAAAGAATCTTAAGTGTGGAGTGTGGTTCCAAGTGTGCAGCTTTATCAACGTAACGTTAACTCTTCTAGTTCGCAGACTCTCACATATATGTACGCGAGTGTAGTTATAGCTTTCGATCCGTTCGTACACATGTATAGGCAAATCGAATTGCTAGTCTTCCCGGTGCGAGGTGCATGCATGATGTGGTTGCTACTTGCTTGTAGTTTCTGTATACGGCGATACAATGGACGATTATTAGTAAATTTCTTGGACTTTGTACGGATTCGTTGCGTCGACGATCGATGCAGCTATTTTCATTGGTGCATGTTGCTATGCTCCGCGGGGGAGATGCACTAGTGCTGCAAACTAGTGCGACGTTCGTTGGTGGGAACCGGAAAAAAAATTGCTTCAGTGCTTTGTTTCGTTCGCTTTATTGATGATAAATGATACAATGCTTTGTTTTCTTATAACACAATGGATGGTACGGCTTAAGATCATTTTTATTATCAGGTAAAAGGCTTTTAAAAAAAAACGAGAACTTTAGTCTTTAAAAAGATTCAAATATTAACACTTCAGGAAATAGCAATTTCAAAAAGGTAACGTTAACTGGGGGAAAGTTGTCATTCGTTGGGACTTTTTAATAATAATGTTCTACACACAATAAAATACCCCTCTCACATGCAGCATATGGCAAAAGGGTTTCTCATGTATCGATTTATATTTTGATTGGTTTTAAAATAAAAATGTGCCTGAAAATGTAAATTTTCAATTCGGTGGTTGAAGTTGATCAAGTTGGATTTTATTAAACGGAATATTCAAAAATTAGTATTCATAGGGGAAATGGCTCTAATGTTGACCTATGGATCTAAGATTGGGCCCATCGCTAAAATTCTGCTATTTATCAATTTTATCTAGATGAACGCATCATTGGGACGGTACTAATGGATATCTTTGGTCGATATTGAAAATTTAGTCGATTGCTGTATTTAGGTATGGGCCCAAATTAGGGGCATTTAGGCCGACATTACATCCATTTCCCCTACTTAATTTGTCTTCACTGTAGAAGAAGAATCAGTTATTAAAATAGCTGCAAAATATATCTCCTTCTCTACCGGATTTTATCGCTTTTACACGAGCTTTCGCCTGCTCCAACTTAGTGTTCTTTGAAGCACTTCTATGGTAATTAATTAGGAGTTTTCTATGCCAACCAATGTATAAATTTGTATATAATGTGGCAAGCATAATACAGGGTGTCCATTCAAATCCAATTTTTCAATTCCCGGTTTTTCCCGGTTAATTAAAAAACCTCTGCCTTATACAAAAAAGACGTTCAAAATTAACCGTTTATAGATAATCATATATTTTTGTCATTATTTGCTCTACAATACGTCTATTTTGTAGAAAAAAAATATGAGATGAGATTTGCATTAATATGTTGATGATCTAGATCTCCAAAATTTCATGGAATCATGAATTCGTATAAAATCAAAGAGTCTCGCAAAAATGAGCCTAAATGTTGTTTTGTTTAGTCGGAAAAATCATGTATTAATGGTACCTGACCAGGAGAAACTCAGTATTATTTTCTTTTAATCTTCCTGGAGTTTAGATCTTAAAGATCTATAAGTCAAACAACATTTTGTGGGATACAAAGATGTGTTACCAACATATTTATCATTCTCATTTTCATTGTCTTGGAGATATTTTACAGGTTAATCGAAATCTTGTCCGATTTTCACTTTGGAGGATTTTGAGTCTCCGTTCATAAAATAATTTAAAATTATCAATTGTGCTTAAAAATAGCATTGTTCGATTATCAAAATCATCCTGGAAATCTGAAGTTCTGCAGACTCAACAAGGCATACGATAATTCGACTTAATTCTTAATTCGGGAAACCCCATAATATCATTGATTTGGATTATTTGGTTTTCCAAAATGCCTGAAATTCATATCGTTATTCTTTTTTAATATAGTCATTTTAACACTCTTGGAGCCTTTGTGACATAAATTTGAACTCACGATAATGATGATTACCCTAGAAAGGTTTGAGCTGGATGAATTATCTCTAAGATAATTAAGTACTTAGTCTTTGGCGTGAGAGGTATGGAGTCAGAACTTTATGTTTTACAGACTAACCGAGGTATTCTACGATGTCCTAAATAATCTGGTGTAGCTGGTTAGCACAAAGTGCAGACATTATTTTTAATTTATCGCTGGACCAATCATCTTAGTTCGTTGATTGTGTCCGGTGTCAAACATTTGCATGCCAAGCATGATGGAGCATGTAAGGAGTTTGAGATCGGACATTTATTTATTGGTATGACTCTGCTTCTTATATTCAAGTAGCTTCGTAACTAGATATGTCTCGCTTAGAACTTCTTCACAGGGAAAATTGCAGCAAAAGAATTCAACCATTTTTCTTCAAATGACATCAACAGAAATTCTAAAAAATTACTATGTAAGCTATGGTAGTAGGAACAACGGCAAAATCACCGTTTGCCCCGTGCGCGAACAGATTGCGAGTGAAAGAAAAGAATAGATATAATAGATGATATAAAATTGATTGATTCCAAGTGACATTGCAAGTTTTACAAAGGTTAAAATGATTCTTCAAGACCAAATTATGGCCTACAAGACTATGATAAAACCAAAATTGTTACTTATATGATCTATCCCGGTGCGATTAGGGTTTTCCCGAATTTCCCGGTTTTCCCCGTTGGATGGACACCCTGATAATAATACTCGATGTCCAGGAAAGATTTCCTAGATTGGACTGGGAATCGAATCCACCGCCTCCGGCTTGGTAATACCGTGCCTTAATCAACCCGGGAGGAACTGGATAAGTTCAATATATTGCCAGTTTACCCCGACAATATGGTGCTGGTGGTTCTATCCAAGGAAGTGGCACCCCTATCTCTGCTAATAATAAGTAGCCATAGCGAGCATAGCCACACTCTGGGCCCGCTCAGATTGATATGTGATCACGTTTTTATGCTGGCTACGAAAAGATGGCGGCGTGTCAGGCCCTTGGTTCTGTCAAACCCACAAATAACAGAATTTCCATCTGAATGGGACGAATGTGGAAATGACGCACAGTAAATAAAATTTAAGTTTAAAATTCATTTTACATGATCAGCTTATGAAACTCATTCCATTATTTGCATAGACAATTAATATAAAGGGGCCAAGAGCCTAACTAACGATTTTAAATTGGCTCACTACTTGACAAGCCTATTGGTCCCAAGCAAACGATTAACGTTCCCAATTCTATTCGAAATTCTAGTACTACGCAAAATTTGTTTTGATTCGCTATGAAAGTTTGACAGATAAAATGAGGGGTTATTGGTTTTTCCTATGTTTCGAGGGGTGAATCGATTAGCTTGGGACCGAAGATAGTACCAGAGCTGAGCCAAAAAGTTGAGCACGTTATTTCGGGACCTTCTAGTCTTAGAGTTACCTCTATGGGTGTACTTTGTATGTCTGTCCAAGGCCTTAAATGCATTTAAGCTGCAGCCTCTCAAACCGACAGGAATACACGTAAGTAAACTTATTCGAGCGGCTCATGGCAAGCCTTCATCGCAAAACTATGCTCAAAGTAATAATCTGAACGCTGATCAAATTCAAGAGCAAAGTATAACCATAGAGGTAACTCTAAGACCACTGGGTCCCGAAGAAAATCATTATTATTTTTGGCTCACTCAGTACCAGAACAACGGTCCCAAGCAGTCCCAAGCTATTTCACTCACCCCTGCATGTTCTGCATGAATCCACACACCCCTGATGTTATCTGTCAAACTTTCATAGCGAATCAAAACAAACATAGTGTAGTAATAGAATTTCAACTAGAATAGGGTACGTTAATCGTTTGATTGGGACCAATAGGCTACTAAAGTGGTGAGCCAATTTAAAATCGTTAGTTTCGTATTGATTGTTGGTATAACGAAGAAAATGAAACTCAATCAATGAGTTACAATTTGTACTATGAAAATCATAAATCCGTTCTTTTCATATGGCATTCTTGCCTATTGTTTGACATTCACACATGGTGAATCTAAAATTTGGTGACTAGCCTATTGGTCCCAAGCAAATCGATTAACGTACTCCATTCTATTAAAAATTCTAGTACTACACAATGTTTGTTTTGATTCGCTATGAAAGTGTGACAGATAAAATGAGGGTTTTTCCTATGTTTAGAGGGGTGCATCGATTAGCTTGGGACCGAAGATAGTACCAGAGCTGAGCCAAAAAGTTGAGCACGTTTCTTCGGGACCTACTAGTCTTAGAGTTACCTCTATGGAAATACCATAGAGGTAACTCTAAGACTAGTAGGTCCCGAAGAAACAAGCTCAACTTTTTGACTCAGCTCTGGTACTATCATAGAGGTAACTCTAAGACTAGAAGGTCTCGAAATAACGTGCTCAACTTTTTGGCTCAGCTCTGGTACTCTCTTCGGTACCAAGCTAATCGTTTCACCCCTCGAAACATAGGAAAAACCAAAAACCCCTCTTTTGAGCTGTCAAACTTTCATAGCTAATCAAAACAAACATTGTGTAGTACTAGAATTTCGACTAGAATGGGGTACGTTAATCGTTTGCTTGGGACCAATAGGCTAGTCAAGTAGTGAGCCAATTTAAAATCGTTAGTTTCGTATTGATTGTTGGTACTATCACAGACAAACAGACGTAACACTTCATTGTGTATCTTCGTTCAAGCATTTAACGGTTAATTTGAATATTATCAGTTCCGCGAACTACTCGCCGCAGCGCTGGCATCGGATCACTTTGACGTTTCTATACATTCTATAGAAATTTTATGCAATACAATTGTTTGCGAGCTAGCGAGCAAGCTTGTTTTCCGCGAGAAGCCCGAAAGATGTCGTTACTGAGGTCATATGTTTTGAGATACTATGTTTTCAAGAAAAACTTTTTCAAAGAGTTACGTCTGTTTGTCTGTGGTACTATCTTCGGTCCCAAGCTAATCGATTCACCCCTCGAGACATAGGAAAATTAACCAACCCCTCATTTTATCTGTCAAACTTTCATAGCGAATCAAAACAAACATAGTGTAGTACTGGAATTTATACGATTGGGGTACGTTAATCGATATGCTTGGGACCAATAGGCTAGTCAAGTAGTGAGCCAATTTAAAATCGTTAGTTTCGTATTGATTGTTGGAAATACCGTTCCGGCGGTGTAGAACAATTCCTTTGTTTACGTTGTGTGGCGACATCAACTATTTGAAAGTGGGTACGTGAAACTAAGATTATCTGTCTGTCACCCTGCCGGGGGCTTGGCCTTAACCGACTGAGTAGACCAGCGGTTCTCAAACATTTTGTGAATTGCGACCCACTTTGAGAAATTCCATAAGCTCGTGGTGGCTCACCAATATGTTGTATGTCTAAAATGACCAAAAAATCTCTAACATGGCTTAATGCTGCCGAAAAAAAAGCTGCATGATTGCCTGAAACTCCAAAAAGAAAATGGTATTGAAACGACTTAAAAACTCCAGGTCAAAATAGCTAAGCTAAAACCGCGCTCATTTCAGTCCAAAAAGGTCTCAAAACGCTCATAAGAAACCTCCCCTCAATGTTACATTGAAAATGCCGAAATAATCTTTAAAACATCGAATCACCAAAAATGGCCATACATTCGCAGCTTACCAAAAGCTTTTAAAACACTAAAATGCCCTTCGATAATCTTAACATTCTTAAAACTGCTTGACAACTCTGATAATAGTCTTGAAACCGAGTTGTGCTGATAAAATTCATTCTTCTACACCCAACTTAGCTGAAAATGAAGACAACCTTAACAGATAGACCAACCACAGCGGCGTCGGTAGTGTAGTGGTAAGCGTGATTACCTCTCACCCCAGCAGGCCTGGGTTCAATCACAGTCGGCGCCGCCGGGATGTTCTGTGGCATAACATCTCTGATCACGCCTTCCTTCGAAAGGGAAGTAAAGCTGTTGGTCCCCGGTTCATGAGTTGATGGATCGATAGGTGGTAGGGTCCAGTTGTAGGAGCTGCCTCCCTGGCGTTGGTTACATTGGTGCTCAGCACGGAAAACAAATCAATTCTAAGACCAGAATTTCCCGAAGACACGGGCTCAAATTGTTTGGCTCAGCTCTGGTACTATTTTCGGTCCCAAGCTAATCGCTGCACCCCTCGAAACATAGGAAAAACCCTCATTTTATCTGTCACACTTTCATAGCGAATCAAAACAAACATTGTGTAGTACTAGATTTTTTACTAGAATGGAGTACGTTAATCGATTTGCTTGGGACCACGAACTCCTCATTTTATCTGTCAAATTTTCGTAGCGAATCAAAACAAACATAGTGTAGTACTAGAATTTCGTGTGTGTGGATACGCTTATAGATGTACTTGGGACCAATAGGCTAGTCAAGTAGTGAGCCAATTTAAAATCGTTAGTTTCCACCTGCATGAATTTGAATTTTGACATTTGGCATTCTCTTGATCAAGGAAACCTTTGGGTATCGAAGTCAACATTAGTTTTTCTTCATTCGTGATTGGATATTCATTATCGCCTGTGTTGTTGTCATATATTAATATTCGCCTTCATCTTGGTGGGAATGATTTTGAGGATCAAATGCAAAATGATTATTTTCATTTTATGCAAATATAGCGCTGAAGAACGTCTCGTGTTAGCTTTTACACGCAGATCGATGGCAAATAATTGCCTCATGCTGAATTGATGATAATATCTAGGTTTTAGGCTCTAAGGTAGACAATGTTTGAAATAATCATTTTGCTCAAAATCAATTTGATTATTTTGCTTTTGAGGATTGCTTCTGATTTTGGCAATTTTGGGTTGGCTAATCAAGCACTGGTGAATATCAACAAACACGTATTCATTGATGCATAATGAACTCATTTGTTCATTTCGCTCGCTTCGTAACAGCGAAGATTTTCAAAACAAATGGAATTTATCTACACTGGATTGAAGCGGTACTCCTTGCTTGTGATAGTAAATGATAAAAACAGACACTACGCTTTACAATCTTTAAAGGTCAACTCATAATTCATACTGGCTTTAAAATAGTTGGAGCTGCTTATCGTCAAATATCATGGACATTTTATACGATATGTAGATGAGTAAGCAAGTATTTTTTCCTTGATTTGTTTTCCGTAAATCTTGTTTTCTGTGCTGAGCACCAATCAGCGTTGTCAGATATACCGATTTATCGGTATTTATACCGATTTCCGAACTAGATACCGATATACATATAACTTATATGTATATCGGTATCTAGTTCGGAAATCGGTATAAATACCGATAAATCGGTATATCTGGCAACGCTGATTGGTGCTCAGCACGGAAAACAAGATTTACGGAAAATAAATCAAGGAAAAAAAAATACTTACTTACTCATCTACATATCGGTTGATATATGGTTTCTCAGAATACCGATATTTGAGGTTTTATACCGATTTAAACCGATTTTTTTTTAATTATCAAAATGATTATTGTCTGCCCGCCCTCGAATTTCGGAGAAAATTATTGCCTTTGAAATTCAAAAAAAAAAAATGATCTTCAAAAATGTCTTATGGATACTCATTCGATGAATGTTTCATTTTATTGTTTTTCTATTGTTGAAAATTCATCGCATTGTAGATCTATTGTAATGATAATATTTTAAATTTACTTGCATGATATACATACAATAAGATCGATTGTTGGCAATAGATCTAATTGTGATTTTATATTATTTTATGGTAAATGAGCACAACTCTGCACTTTCACGAGAAATCACTGGGATGTTGGATAAAAGAGGTGAGATTGCAGCAGGATTCGTTTTGGTAAACGATATGCTAAATTGATGTCCTAACGATTCAATAGCGTGAAGGAGCTAGGATCCACGGTATTCTACACAGTAATCAAATTCGGTCGCCACAAGGCCACCGAGCTCCTTATTTCACAAAACAATTACGACCAAGTTCCTGTTTATTTTATTGTTTCTAGATCCTGGCGGCAACCTCACCGACGACGAATGTAAGATTCTATGGCATATTTCCATAAAAAGTATACAGAAGTTGTAATGTTTCACCACATGAACAGATCCTGCAATGTGTTCTTCGAAAGGTTGTTTAAATAATTTTGTAATAAAGTTTGTTTTCCGGAATGCACTGCGGCTAGAAAATCATCTCATGAAATACGAAAATATGAATTGTGGAAAAACTTGCTGGTATGGTACAGTCCATTGTAAGTACTGCCATCAAATTTGTTGAAAGAAACATATACAGAGGATGTAAGAAATCCAACCTTACATTGTTTGTAAGAGAAATGTGTTTTGCGTGAATGAAGCTCGAGCAGTTTATGAAAAACGCTCAATATTCAACTGAACACTAAATATCAAGAATGTACAATTTTTTTCATAAGAGAAGGGCGTTTTACTAACATAACTTTAACTTCTTACACACTTAATTTTTTTTGCAAAGATTCCAACAGCCGAGTAGTGCTGCAATTTATTGGCAGAGATTCAGTAAAACAATTTTTGATATTCAAACAGATAATTTGCAGATTTATCAGCAAAAATAAATGCCGCGGTAATCGGTTGTTGGAGAGTCTACCGAGCTAGATTGTGTGTGTAAACACTCATTCAAATAAACGATAAATATTTGATGAGCCAGCTGCCGAGAATTCAGCAATCTATCTTTTTAAATCGTACTTTTACAGTTTTTTTACTAACATTGAGTATGGGAAATTCGCATGGCCGAACCGGGAATTTATACCACCACTTTTATTGACTGAATTTTTAATTTTTAGACGTTGGAGACATGATGGTATTATTCATCCAACGATTTACACTGATTAATGTCGGCGTGTAAATATCGTGATGATCCGGTGCAGATTAAGATAAATGTTATCAATATAGTTGGCAAGATATAGGATAGCGTTGATTTTATCATCTACTGTAGTAGCTATCTTTAAACTTATGTCTTTGTTGACATGCATAAAACAAAAAAATGCTTCGCTTTCATTGAGTATGGATAGATAAATACACACTGCGAAGCTAACCTAATTAAATTGGGAATATCTTCCTATTATTCATGGCTAAATATGTCGAAGCTTATACCTGACCTCCAGTTTGTGTTGTGTGAGCGCCATGTTGTTAAGAGCCATCTTAGCCTGTCATTGTTTGACTTTGTATATTGTGTAGAAAGTACAAAATCCAAGAAAACTGTGTAGAAAATAGAAAACTTTTTCACGATAAGCTTTTGGAAACCGCTTTTTACCCATTTCTAATATATGCAAAAGCACCCTTTCCTCCCATTCCCCCTTCATCATCTCGCATTGGAACAGATTTCAACCGTTAAGATATTCTACTGACCGCAAGTTAACTTTCGATGCAGGTAAACATGGCCACTCCGAGCCGCGATCTCACGATACAGGAAATCTCCCGTAGCCTCCAGCTGTACTCCAAAGACAGGAAGCCAATCGAGAAGGACCCGAAGACACTACGGTAAATGAAGAATCAATCTTGACGAATGATGAACGTTTTCTAACTGCTTCATTACTGCTGTATGATTCCAGTGTTGGAAACATCTCGGACAAACCGACGGTTTTGGTTTTCGCATGGCTCAACGCCAAGCAGAAGCATCTGGCCAAGTATGCTAAACTGTACACGGAGCAAGGTTACGATGTTGTAGTGACTCAGCTGACACCCTGGCAGCTACTCTGGCCCATGAAGGGATCTCAGGTAAATTCGATTTCTGCCGGTTACTTTTCATGATTTGATGGGAAAACTTACTTTCACTTGCAGCTCGTGGCGAACGATATTGTAAAATTCTTGAAGAACAATGAGTTCAAGCATGGTCTCATCTTTCACGGGTTCTCGGTCGGAGGCTACCTGTGGGGTGAATGCTTGGTGCACATTGCACGGGATTTGCAGAACTACCAAGTCGTGCTTGACCGCGTCAAGGGTCAGATTTGGGACAGTGCTGCCGATATTACGGAAATCCCAGAAGGAGTTCCCCGCGCTCTGTTCCCCAGAAATCCAACGCTTCAGAATGCGTTGCGGAAATATATGCTGTGAGTTTGTGTTGCCAACTTTGTACCCACTTTGTTGACAAACGTTTCATTTTAGCTACCACATGAAAGCATTTCACGAACCAGCCACATCGCATTACATTCGCTCGAGCCAAATGTTCCACACCAATCTGCTGAGATGTCCAGCTCTCTTCTTGGTTTCGAAAACTGACCCTGTCGGAACGGAAGTCGCCAACGGACGTGTCCGGGACAGCTGGGAGAGTAATGGCGTCAAGGTAAAAAGCTTTAAAAGCCAATAATTTTAGCAACAACAACCCCAACACTTTCAAACCATCTTGCAGTGTACCTTCCATTGTTGGGACCGTTCACCGCACGTGGGACACTTCCAGAAACATCCAGAGGAATATGTCAACCAGGTGTTTAGCCACATTCGGCGGCTGGAACTGACCGGAAAGATGCAATCGCTACGGGCGAAGCTGTAATCAAGGCGTCAATTTGTTCTGTGATACTTAAGACAAATCTATGTAAAACGAAAAAAAAAAAACAAACCTTTCAATACCTTGATTTTACTTCACAATTTATGCAATAAAAAAAAAACATACTGTGTGAAATTAGTTTGTACAAAGCAGAAACCCCAAACATATAGGCGTCTACTATTATACAACTGGTGCGTCAGCAAACACCGGGCGGCAGAAAGGTAAAAGTGCAAGTCATGTTGGTAATTTGCGATCGGCACTCGTCGTGGTAGATCCAGTAGGTGTGTATTGGTAGGATAATACCTTAATCTACTTTATTTTCGGTTTTCCAGTGAATGAAAATGACGTTCTCTTCTTAACGAACGAATTTTCTATACACAACACACCATATATGTAACGGATGGATATTAGGGAAATAAACGTTAGCTAACACTTAATTTGGGTCATTTTATTTACGAATGAGAAATACTTTAAGAACTTAAGTCTATTATGCGCGGCGAGTGAGGTGAGGTGACTCGCTTTCAAAAGTCACCGCAAGTGAGGTGACTCTCCGTGCAAATCAAATAAAGAGTCACCTCACTGACGGTGACCTTACTTGTGACCGCGAGTCACCTCATCTGGACACTCGCGGCGCAGAATAGGTCACATTGTTTTTTTTTGTGTTTGTAATAGGTACTTCCTAAATCATCTTGCGGGATGGGCAATGATTAGCATCCATGGCTCTCACACTTAAGGTCACGAGCTCAAATTTCATCCCCGGACAAGTGATGAATGCAGGGTGGCCAGTGAATTTTCATTTTAAAATTCCCGTTTTATTCAGATCTCAAAACTATCCTGGTTGTAATGAATGTGGTGTAATGATTGCAATATCACGTTATTTTCGAGGATCTTGGAATCAATTTGAATAACTTTTATTAGTCTTCCTATAATTTCAAAGCGCCTAAATTTACGAAGTACCAGAGCCAAGGATTTTTTTAAAGATCGCCCTAGTCCTCAAAACTGACCAATTGGGCCTACAATGTGCATATCCATTCAAGTGTTTTTATCACACATGGCCGGAGTAAATTGGATCATTCGGGTGATACCCTTCCTTTTTGTTTGTTTGCATTTTATTTTAAACAAGACTGTAATTTTAATTGAAAAGCTCGGCTAGCTTTTGCTTACTAAGAAGAAGATCGTGGGTTTACTCCCAAGCTCCTCCAAAACATCGCATCGCCTGCTTAATCAAATCCTTATCCATCTCCTACCCAACTATCCAACTCGGTAGCGTCTATGGGGGCGTCGGTGGAGTCGATGACCTCTCCTTAAGTAGATGTTACATCAACAATATCCTTCTGTTGAAAGTCGTTTCAACGGAATCAGTTTCCAAAAAAGTATTCTCTGACCGACGGCAATAAAACGCGAATATTCGATTTTGGGAGACTGATTCCGTTGAAACGACTTTCAACAGCATATAATTTTCGTTTAGTTCCTTTCACATATAACTCCCGGTTGGGATTCGAGTAGGTTCTCGACCAGATTACTGTGCTTGTCCTATATTCATTTGTAGCTTCGTAGGTTACGATTCGTTCCTTACGCGACCTCTTAGCGAAGAAATTCGTGACAATAACCTTTTAGAAACCTGGGTTCTATTATTAAAACAACAGCTGAAGCACTGCAGGTAACCGGCTCAAATAGTACAGTATAGTTTGTTAACTTTAGCTCTATCACTAATTTAAGGTAATTTAAGAAACTAAGATAATTTTAGAAACAAATGCACAAAATCACTTCTACACGTGGGATTTGTAATCGTTATCGTCTAACTTCGTCACCGGTCGGTCGTAAACACCACTCGATGTCCTCACGATTGCGGACTTTACTGGTCGTCCTTACTGACTTTGATGCTAATAACTTTCCCCTTTGGCCAACAGTTACGAGGCATGTTGAAATCGGCGATGATCACAATATCGCCCACGGCGATCGGTTTTACCCGCTGAAACCACTTGGTACGCCGGGTAATCTCAGGCAGATAGTCCGATACCCAACGCTTCCAGTACTGGTTTGCAAGGATCTGGTATGTGCACCAGTTCTGCCTGAGGGTCGCCACGGTATCGTCGAAATTAGTGAGCGGTTTCGGCCCGTTGTATGAGCCGAACAGAAACTGGTTCGGTGTCAGTGCTTGTGTCGAATCCTCGTCTATCGGCACATGCGTTAGCGGACGCGAATTCACGGTATTCTCTACTTCGATCAACAGGTTGTGGAGTACTTCGTCGGACGGTTTCTTCGAAGAACAAACAACCATCAAGTTGTTCATGACGGTGCGAATCAATCGCTTACAACTACCGCCCATGTGTTGTGATAGGGGTGGGTTGAATACCCATTCGATCCCATCACTCGCGAACTCTCTCATCAGTTCACCTTGACTGATCGCTTCGTTGATCTGCTTCAGTACTCTATTTGCGCCGACGAAGTTTGTGCCACGGTCGCTGTAGATCTTCTGGGGAGTACCACGGCGTGCAATGAAAATGCGGATCGCCATGATGCAGGAGCTTGTGCTAAGCGAGTGCACAAGTTCTATGTGAACTGCTCGCATGGTCAGACAGGTAGCTAACATTCCCCATCGCTTCTCGACTCTCCTTCCGATGACGACTTCATTCAGCCCGAAGTAGTCAACTCCCACATGCGTAAATGGCCGTGAGAAAGCAGCGACGCGGGCTGGCGGAAGATCAGCCATGTACGGTGGGCTGGGTGCTGCGTGCTGATTTTTGCATCTCTGGCAATCTTTCCTCACTCGCTCGAAACAAGCGCGTAGATGAGCGATAGGACTTTTTTTTTAATTCTTTATTAAGGAGATTTTAAGCCTATGGCTAGTTCATCTCTGAGATGAGGGATACTTAAATTCTGTCGTATTTCGTTGATAACGGTTTCGTGGTTTTGCTGGTGGTATTCGTGGTGGTAGTGCGCTACGATCAGGGTGGTGGTGTTGTGTTTTCGATGAAGAATGATTGTCTGCTTCGCGTCTTCGGTGGCGTAATGACAAGCAGCAATGCGCGTTCGCATGCGCAGTATTCCACGATCGTCCAACCATGGCGTTAACTGGTACAGCGAGCTGGTTTTTGGGACAATATTTGTGGAAGAATCGGAACATCTGGTCTTCTGAGTCGTTTGCAGTAAGTGGTCCTGTACGAATCGGTCGCCTGGCGCGCTTTTTTTTATATTAATTTATTTGTACAGGCTCAATCGAATAAACTTTACAGAGCCGAGTTATCATTTGCATTATACATGATTAATGTCTTAAATCTAGAGTTAAAGGAATTGAACCGATTACTCGCGGTCGTCTCGAGGTTAGTGGAGATTTACAATTTTTTGGATGGGGAAAGGGAGAAGGAGGTTTGAAATGTGATTTATTATACAAATATTTAATTAATCCTAAAACATGAACTTATTTCTATTCATCTTGAAAACAAACATTAAAAAAAAACTACACGCACAATACACAAACTAAACACAAGGTTAATCAAACTTACAATCTAAGGTAAGTATTCTTAAAGTAAACATATATGAGTTTCATAAACTCCAGATCACGCCTAGCCAAAATATCCCGAACTGGAACATTAGGTTGTCTACCTTGAGCCCGAAGGGAATCGCACAGCTCAGATCTGACTCCACGATGCTCAGCACAAGACCAAAGGATGTGATCGGCGTCTTGGTAACCTTGTCCACATTCACAGAGATTGCTGTCTCCCAGCCCAACACGAAACAAACCTGGCGTGCTGCTAGTACTTTTCTCGAGTTGCTAACCCAATTACGGATCTCGAAGCCGCCTTGCTCGTGCACATGCTTGACGACCTTAGCTAACTGGATGGCTTGCTTTTCGGTATCCACGCTGACGAGCATATCATCAACGTAATGCGACTTCCTGATAGGTTCGCAGGCAGCCGGCAACTTGTTTGCGAATCGTTCCGCGTTGTTATTTTTCACGAACTGAGCAATGTCATCACCTGCATCACGTACACTGCTATGACTCCATTTGCGTCCATCCAGAAAAAAACACTGACATAGCTGGCCTTCGGCTCAGATCAGTACTTGGTGAAAAATTTCGCGGATGTCACCGGTCCGACCAATGCGGCGTTCTCGAAACTGAAGTAGAATCGCGAGCACAACAGATCCGGTCCTTTTAGCAGCGCCGAATTCAAGGACGTCCCGTGGGCGATAGCCGTTGCATCCCAAACAATGCGTACCTTCCCAGGTTTGTTTGTGTTGGTGACGGGAAAGATCGGCAAATACCAGCGTCGTGGAATCTTCTGGTTGATTTCTTCGTCGGTGAGCTTCCGGATATACTGCTTCTCTACATACTCGACAGTCTTCGCTTGCAAGATCTTTGACAGCTCCAGGTCCTTCTCCATCCGTTTCTTTAGGCACTGAAATCACCGCAGCACCATTAATCGACTGACAGGCAAGCGGGCGTCATCGTATCGCCAAAGCAGTCCGGATTATCCTTACGATCAGTCAACGACAATGCACGTTCATCTTCATCGGAAGAAAGGGCCTTCTCCGATTTGGTCACCCCGAGACTGTCTAGTGAGAACTAGTCTTTCTTCTTCTTCTTCTTTCCATTATTTAACGTCGGTCTCTGTTCCGCAATCTAGTGCCAATCACCGACGGACATCGATAGCCATCCATTGACGGCAATCGAATGTGCAGGAATGCAGCTTCCACACCAGCGTAGGATATTGCACCCATTTCAAAACACACATGGGTCGGGACCAACGGCTTTACTTCCCTTCCGAAGAAAGACGTGACCAGAGATTTTTATGCCTCAGAAAAATCCCACCGACCTCGACTGGGATTGAACCCAGACACATTGGGGTGAGAAAGCAGTCACGCTTACCACTACACCACCGGCGACGACTAACTAGTCTTTCATAGCCTGGTGCAAGTCCTCATCTGACTTCACGCTCAGTGATGCAAAATATTATGACACTCACGTGACACTCGTCTTCGCATCAACCAACTATTGCTGACAGAACGTTTTGTCACGCAGTGAGAGGTAGATCCATGGCAAACAACAATCACCAGTAATGGTTGCTGCTCACAAGCAAAACGTTACACTCGCTGCTTTGCTGATGATGAAAAGCACAACGAAAACAGTGAAGACTTCTGCAGTACGATCATGAGAAAAAGCGAAACGACTGAAGAAAATGAAAATAATGCCTGCGCATTCCAAGTTCGTATCGGTAGGCGCGACTGTGTGAGTTACAAACAAAGCAGGCACACTCACAAACACACTCACATAAGCAAGCAAAGCAGCAACTGCTTCAAAACGAGCACAGATGAGTGTCGTGATTGTCGGGAATGACCAGATCAGTGATGGATCACAACCGAAGACGACATTCACCAGTTGCTTTTTACTTCTTTCGTCAACTTGATTGATGGTCATGGAGAGAGCTTCGAAGAG